AAATGTGTTACTTGAAATAAAAGCAAATATAAAAAACCTTAAAATTATTTCTAATTTTCATATTAGTAGCTGAAAATGAAATAAAATGACATTAAAAAACATTTTCGTAAATTGAAATAAATGTTAACTGAATATAAAAATATAAAAAACTTAAACTTATTTTATTTCTCTAGATGCCAAGGCAACATTTCTCATTGTCATTTAGTTGAACTTGAAATATTCAAATTAAAATTGAAATTAAAATTAATAAAATGACAGCAAAATTACTAAAACTTTAAGTGAATTTAAAATAAGAATGTATCCTTGAATGATGGTGCAGTAACGCTGGTGTCCATGTGCTTCTCCTCAGAGTTTGCTGAAGTATTATCATCCCAGCAGAGCTCCGGCTGCGTGCTGCGCGCCCACCAAGATGAGTCCGCTCAGCATGCTCTACTACGAGAACGGGGAACTCCTCCTGAGACACCACGAGGACATGCTGGTGGAGGAGTGTGGATGCCTGTGACCCACCCACGTCTTCATCAGATCTTCATCAGAGAGACGATCTTCATCAGAGAGACGATCCTCATCAGATCTTCATCAGATCTTCATCAGATCGACGATCTTCTTCAGGAGAGACGATCTTCATCAGATCCTCATCAGATCCTCATCAGATCCTCATCAGATCCTCATCAGATCCTCATCAGATCTTCATCAGATCCTCATCAGATCCATCAGATCCTCATCAGATGCTCATCAGATCTTCATCAGATCTTCATCAGATCCTCATCAGATCTTCATCAGATCGACGATCTTCTTCAGGAGAGACGATCCTCATCAGATCCTCATCAGATCCTCATCAGATCCTCATCAGATCTTCATCAGATCCTCATCAGATCCATCAGATCCTCATCAGATGCTCATCAGATCTTCATCAGATCTTCATCAGATCCTCATCAGATCTTCATCAGATCGACGATCTTCTTCAGGAGAGACGATCTTCATCAGATCCTCATCAGATCCTCATCAGATCCTCATCAGATCCTCATCAGATCCTCATCAGATCTTCATCAGATCCTCATCAGATCCATCAGATCCTCATCAGATGCTCATCAGATCTTCATCAGATCTTCATCAGATCCTCATCAGATCTTCATCAGATCGACGATCTTCTTCAGGAGAGACGATCCTCATCAGATCCTCATCAGATCCTCATCAGATCCTCATCAGATCTTCATCAGATCCTCATCAGATCCATCAGATCCTCATCAGATGCTCATCAGATCTTCATCAGATCTTCATCAGATCCTCATCAGATCTTCATCAGATCGACGATCTTCTTCAGGAGAGACGATCTTCATCAGATCTTCATCAGATCCTCATCAGATCTTCATCAGATTGACGATCTTCTTCAGGAGAGACGATCTTCATCAGATCTTCATCAGATCCTCATCAGATCCTCATCAGATCCTCATCAGAGAGACGATCTTCATCAGATCTTCATCAGATCCTCATCAGAGAGACGATCTTCATCAGATCTTCATCAGATCCTCATCAGATCCATCAGATCCTCATCAGATCCTCATCAGATCTTCATCAGATCCTCATCAGATCCTCATCAGATCTTCATCAGATCCTCATCAGATCCATCAGATCCTCATCAGATGCTCATCAGATCTTCATCAGATCTTCATCAGATCCTCATCAGATCTTCATCAGATCGACGATCTTCTTCAGGAGAGACGATCCTCATCAGATCTTCATCAGATCCTCATCAGATCTTCATCAGATCGACGATCTTCTTCAGGAGAGACGATCTTCATCAGATCTTCATCAGATCCTCATCAGATCCTCATCAGATCTTCTTCAGGAGAGACGACCTTCATCAGATCTTCATCAGATCCTCATCAGATCTTCATCAGATCTTCATCAGATCCTCATCAGATCGACGATCTTCTTCAGGAGAGACGACCTTCATCAGATCTTCATCAGATCCTCATCAGATCTTCATCAGATCTTCATCAGATCCTCATCAGATCGACGATATTCTTAAGGGGAGACGATCCTCATCAGATCTTCATCAGATCTTCATAAGAGAGACGATCTTCATCAGATCTTCATCAGATCGACGATATTCTTCAGGAGAGACGATCTTTATTCATCAGATCTTCATCAGATCTTCATAAGAGAGACGATCTTCATCAGATCTTCATCAGATCTTCATCAGATCTTCATCAGATCTTCATAAGAGAGACGATCTTCATCAGATCTTCATCAGATCTTCATCAGATCTTCATCAGATCTTCATCAGAGAGACGATCTTTATCAGATCTTTATCAGATCTTCATCAGATCTTCATAAGAGAGACGATCTTTATCAGATCTTCATCAGATCTTCAGGCTGGAGTCGAGCTGAAGATCCAGAGCAACGTTATCCACAACATGTTAGGACTTCAAAAAGAGAGACGATCCTGTATAGGAAGAGCTTCATCAGCAGGAGTTCCAGTGGAGATCCAGAGCCGAGCAACATTATCCACAACATGTTAGGACGTGAAGTAGAGCCTGTGAGAGCCGAGCAACATTGTCCATTAACATTAACAATATTATATATAACATGTTAGGACATTAAAAAGAGAAGGAAACGCAACACTTACCTGTTGAGGTATATTAGGGTTCCCAATTCCCCTCAAAAAAACTAAAAAAAGAAGAAGTGAAGAAAAAGATTCTCTCCTTTTGCATCTTCTGGAATTTCCTGCAAATGATGATCAATCGTGAAAACTGTAAAATGGATTATTAAGATCTCAAGCACTGTCTATGTATTTACAATTGCACCATGTGGTGGAGAATCTATGTAAATATTTATTGTAAATAATGCATAAATAAAGCCTTGATATTTATGTAAATATAATATATGAATCTTTGGATAAAAATTGGAGATTAGCCAATGCTATTTTTGCTAAAAGAAATAAAAGTATTTGCCTGAAGGCTTTTAAACTGTTCTTTTCTGAATCATTTATATAAATAAGTATCGGTCTATCTATCCATCCATCTATCTATTATCTATCCATCTATCCATCCATCCATCTATCTATTATCTATCTATCTATCTATCTATCTATCCATCCATCCATCCATCCATCCATCCATCCATCCATCCATCCATCCATCCATCCATCCATCCATCCATCCATCCATCCATCCATCCATCCATCCATCTATCTATCTATCTATCTATCTATCTATCTATCTGTCGATCCATCTATCTATTATCTATCTATCCATCCATCTTCTATCTATCTATCTATTATCTATCTATCTATCTATCTATCTATCTATCTATCTATCTGTCAATCCATCTATCTATTATCTATCTATCCATCCATCCATCCATCCATCCATCCATCCATCATCTATCTATCTATCTATCTATCTATCTATCTATCTATCTATCTATCTATCTATCTATCTATCTATCTATCTATCTATCTATCTATCTATCTATCTATCTATCTATGCATTATCTATCTATCTATCTGTCTATCCATCTATCTATTATCTATCTATCCATCCATCATCTATCTATCTATCTATCTATCTACCTATCTATCTATCTATCTATGCATTATCTATCTATCTATCTGTCTATCCATCTATCTATTATCTATCTATCTATCCATCCATCATCTATCTATCTATCTATCTATCTATCTATCTATCTATCTATCTATCTATCTATTTATCTATCTACATTATCTATCTATCTATCTATCTATATATCAAAACAAATAAATAAAGTCTTGACATTTATGTAAATAAAACAAAGTTAATATATTATTTTTACAAATTAATTGTAATTGTATATTATTCAGCTGAAATCTTTTATATATCTCCTAAAATATAATATAAGCCATTAAAAGCAACTTCTTCCTGTGAGTTTTTCCCCAAAGGTTTTATTGTGTCAAAACGTTTTTTAAATAATTCACTACAAAATCCTTATAACATCTTTTCTTCTAAAGGCCTCAATGTCAATCGTGTGTTTCTCTAACAGAGAGCTGGAGAGAAGTGATGTGACTTCATATTCAACATCCAGAGAGAACGACTCAACAAACTCATCCTGATTTCTAGAACTCGGACTATGGGGTTTTTGTCTTCGGGGTCACAGGGGTCACGGGGTCACGGGTTCAACACAATCACCAGCCGTTGTTCCCAATAAAGGTCCTGATCCGGCAGGGACGTTCCAGAATGGGATCAGATTAAGGGGGAAACGGTACGTACAGTGTGTTTTAGCTCTCAACTAACAGCTGGTTTAACTAAATTAGAGTTATTACTAATATTTATGGGCTAAATATGACAGATGTGCCAATTTACAAACCTATTTAACTTCTATTAATGTAGAAATGTGCTCTGCTTTAACATATTTAAGTGACTTTTGAGTTTGGTTCCAGAAATGTGCATTTTATATTTAAAATTAGTAATTATATAGGATGATAACAAGCATTGATTTCTATTTTTATGAGAGAATAATGTATCCTATAAAACAAACATGTTATATAAACATGTAATGATAAAATAAACCATGCATGTTAATGTTCAGGGCTTTAGAAGTTGTAGGGATCAGTTTTTTGCATTTCTACAAGAAGTTAAATGTAATTTGCAAGGACAGCATTAAAAATGTAGGTATACAAAGTGATGTTTTCATTTTGTGGAACCTGGGTAAAAAATACACTTAGAATAGCCTATGGTTTAGGCTACATTTTTCAGAATGTTATGCAAAAAATAATAATTCTCATTGAATTAAAATTGTTTCTTAATATACTACACTAAATAACGAAGTCGAAAACCTGATAAACTAGTGTAAAAGGCAAGCAAACACCGTAGTTTCAGAGCTGAAAAGTTGTCTTTCACATATCTTTCACAGCTCGTGCTGTGCTGCCGTAAAGCAATCTGGCACGCGTTTTTACGACAGTTGTAGCGGAAGCCGGCATTGGTAGTCGGCAACTCGGCATGTTGTTGCCTATGGTTGTTGCTCGCTCTCGCATTACAGAACAGAACATAAACTTACACACTTTATAACTAAACTAAGTCGTCTGTCCGGTGAATGGAGACGGTGAGACAGCATCGCATGTCTGAATGTGAGGGTTTAATACCCGCTCTAGACGATCAGTCTGCTTTACTTAACAGATTTGAATGTGTTCGTATTCTTACTTTTTTTTACGTATTCCTTTAGTTGATGAATGGCATGACGTCATTCGTCGATAATACTGCAGTCCATAAAGCCAGTTAATATTTGTGATGGAACATTAAATAATATGGTAATGTTCGTTCAGGTTCAGAAATGCTCGTGCTATTAATAACGTCATGTGTTTCTATATTTGTCTGTTCAGCTGTTTGAGGCTTTGAATGCTTGGCTTTTGCTCATAATTGCACATTTAAATACATTACACTTTGAAATGAAGATGAAGGTATATTTTAATTGAAATGTTGAACTGTGTTTTTAGGACGAAAGTATGTTGGGAAAAGTATCAGGGCGAGACATGATTGTCGTCACATTTGTTTTAGCAGATGTAATTTTTCTCTATTAAAAACTCTGTTGGCCAATGATGATATTTTTCTATATTACCTTTTACATTTTTTCCGTGTCATGAGTTGTTTTGGGCTTTATAATTCTGGAAGTTGAAGAGTATGCTCAAACAACATAGGAATAAACATAGAAATAAATAAATAAAAGATAAATAAATAAATAAATAAATAAATATATATATTCAATTCAATTCACATTTATTTGTATAGCGCTTTTCACAATACACATTGTTTCAAAGCAGCTTTACAGAGTCCACATTACAATTTACAGTGATCTGTTATCAGAGATGACTGTCTGTTATATATTTCAGAAATGTACATATACACAATCAGAGTATATATATATATATGTTATGTTATGAGTTGTCTGAGCATATTCTTCAACTTCCAGAACTATAAAGCCCAAAACAACTCATGCTGTCTAATCGATTAATCACGATTAATTGCATCTAACTTACAAGTTTTTGTTTATATAATATATGTGTGGATATATTTTATTATAGCCTATTTATACTATATATATATATATATATATATATATATGTGTGTGTGTGTGTGTATGTGCTTAATATACATACATATACCCATATATGTATCCATATATTTATATATTTGTGTGTGTGTCATATATATATATAGTATACATAATAAAATATTTCCACACATATATTAGCTATAGGCCTATAAACAAAAACTTGTACGTTAGATGTGATTAATCGATTTGACAGCATGAGTTGTTTTGGGCTTTATAAATTCTGCATACAAACACATATATTATGTTCATATTTCTGATGTCACTGCATGTTTGTGCGCTCTGGCAGGAAGTGGCTGTCCGTGGCTCATTACTGTGACTTGCTGTGCACCTGTGAGTTACCCACCAATCACAGCTCAGATCACTCCTGAACCCACCAATCACAGCTCAGATCACAGTCCACTGATCCACCAATCCCTCCTCAGATCATCACACCTGAACCCAACCGGATGGCGGAGGCCGTGGCGAAGGTGGCCAGGAGGGTCAACGCCACCATGGAGGAGGGCAGAGACTCGCTGGGTGCGACACCGTCCGACTGATAAATCATATCTCATAGGAATTTTGTTTTCATGTTTATACCCTTGTCAGCTCTTCTAAACGCATGCATAACTCCTGATGTCCGTTAGAGCTGGGGTCCGTCCACCTCAAGGGACTGCTATAGGGGTACGTAGAAATAAAGGATAAAAAATGATTAACATGAATGAATAAATACATATTTGATTTAAATAAAACAATACATATTACATTAAAATTGATTGAAATTAATAAATAAATAAATTTGATTACATAACAGTACATTAAAATTAATGAATGAATAAATAATACATATAACAGTACATTAAAATTATTGATTTATTTACATGTTCATACATTTTAAACAATTTTAATGTACTGCTATTATATTTAAATCCATTTATTTTTCATTCAATTAATACATTTTACTGTCATGTAATGTATATGTGCACAATGTATTACTTTATTCATTCATTTTAAACAAAGTAATAAATATGACAGTACATTAAAAATTGATTACTTGAAAAAATACAAATAACAATACATTAAAAAAATTAAAATTGATGAATAAATAAAGAAATGTATTTAAATAGAAAAAAATAATAGATATAACAGTACAATAAAAACTGATTAAAATGAATTAATATATATATTTAAATAAATAAAATAATAGATATAACTACAAATAAAAATGATTGAATTGATTTAAAAAAATTAAATACATATAACAGTACATAAAAGATTGATTAAAATGAATTGATACATTTATGTAAGAAATAGCTGTAACAGTACATTTCAATAGTGGGTAGAGAAAAACAACAGAAAGTATAATAATGTAATTGAATATTTTCCAAATAATTTAAAAAAAAATTATTATAATTTTTTTCATAGCATAAGTTGGGTATAAATTGACTTAGATTTCAGGACGCGAGTCCCTCCATGAGGAAGATCATATTTTGGGGTCTCTGGCATCTAAAAGATTGAAATCCAAAGAAAGTCACACTAATGCTTTTACATACTGATAAATACAAAATAATATACTTACTGTTCTGATTGGCTGGTTCGGCAGTAGATGGTGCCGTTGTGTTTGGGAAGCTCCTGTAAATCACTTCATTCTTCTGACCATTTTCCAATCGATCAAGTGTCATCGTATCAATCATTTAATGTCAAGAGTAAATAAAGTCACGTCGTAATCAGCAGCATTGTGAACCTCTGATTAAACACACACACACACACACACACATCAAGTGCCTCCAAATTACGGCATTCTGATAGTATTTGCCGTGATTTGTGAGTGATTGCACAATGGCAGCGTGTTGTTGATATTCAGAGGAACAACTAAATCTCATATTCACACAGTCCGAGTCTGAACCAGCTTCTGTTTTCTCCTCTAGATCTGTCCGACTGTGGTCTTGTTAGTTTCCCTGACGGCGTCTTCAGGATGATGCGCAGCTGCACACACACCATACACACCATCTCTCTGGCCAACAACCACATCAAAGCCTTGAGCAGCAAGTTCTTCCTCACCTTTACACAGTTACGAGGTGAGACTCCAGGCGACATACTGCAGTCATCACTGCTGGAATTAATACTAGGACTATATATGTGGTTAATACAGTGAAGTCTTTCGTATACACTGATGAATTATTCTGACATCAGCAGAAAAACAGCTTCACATTACGAAACATTTGTTCAAAATAAAAAATTCAATCAAATAATTATATTATTAAACAGATTCAAACTCTACATTCTGAAGCATTGCGAAGTGATTCATTAAACAACGGTACAAAAATATTGACTTGCACTGCTTTTGGCTCAGTAAGATTAAAAAAAGAAAATAAATAGCCTACTTTTATTCAGCAAGAATGCATTAAATTAATCAAAAGTGACAGTAAAGACGTTTATAATGTAACAAAAGTTTATATTTCAAATAAACGCTGTTCTTTAGAACTTTCTATTCATCAAAGAATCCTGAAAAATAAAATGTATCAACTGTAAAAACAACTGTTTTCAAGTCAACTGATCATTAATTTTTAATCAAATCATATTAGATTCAGATATTTCTGAAGGATCATGTGACACTGAAGACTGGAGTAATGATGCTGAAAATTCAGCTTTGGTCACAGGAATAAATTACACTTTACTGTATATTCACATAGAAAACAGCTGATTTGCATTGTAATAATATTTCTACTGTATTTTTGATCAAATAAATGCAGCTTTCGTGCAGCAGAAGAGACTTAAAACATCTGTAGTTGCAAAATATTCTCCACATCAAGCTGTTTCAGAGTGACTTGCAGTGGTTGCATCATTTGCAATGCTTCATGGGAGTTGTGGACCGGTTTCTAGCGTTGCACAGAATACACCAGCCCAGCTCTGATAGATGTACAGGTGCAACTCGAAAAATGAGAATATCGTGCAAAAGTTAATTTATTTCAGTAATTCAACTTAAAGGTCAAACTAATATATTATATAGACTCATTACATGCAAAGTGAGATATTTCAAGCGTTTATTTGTTATAATTTTGATGAAATTATTTTGATTAATTTTGAGCTTATGAAAACCTTTTTACAATATTCTAATTTTGAATTTGGGGTTTTCATAATCTATAAGCCATAATTATCACAATTATAACAAATAAAGGCTTAAAAATATCTCACTTTGCATGTAATGAGTTTATATAATATATTAGTTTCACCTTTAAGTTGAATTACTGAAATAAATGAACTTTTGCTCGATATTCTAATTTTTCGAGTTGCCCCTGTAGATCACATGATGAGCATATATGCATGTGTGTGTGTGTGTGTGTTTTCTTCTTGTAGAGCTGGACCTGCAGGGAAACGTCCTCACGAAGCTGCCAGAGGCCGTCGGAGGCATGGAGCACTTGGTCAACATCAACCTCTCCAAAAACAAGCTGACGGTTTTCCCCGAGCGCCTGGTGGAAGCGAGAAGCCTCGAGCACATCAGCGTGGAGGGGAACAGCATCACAGGTGCCAATCACATCAATCATGTGCAGTCCTAAGCACACAGTGACTTTCCCAATCAGCGATTGGCTGTTTTATTTAGAAGGCGGGGCTTATTCAATTCAATAGAGCCTAAGTCCCTCCCCTTCCGTAGTCAATTGGTAGTCAATGGCGAGAGACAACAAATATTTTGATCTCGTTTGAATTGTGTCCTGAATTATACATATGATGTTTGTCAATTTAAAAGATACATTTTAAAGTCAAGGGAGTCGCAGTTTGATGTAAAACTGTTGAGGTATAAGACTGTGAAAATACGTAATTACAAAGACTACAAACCCAAAAGGCGCACATTTTCTCTCAATGAATGAAGCTAACTTTACTGAAGCTAACCTTACTGATGCTAACTCTACTGAAGCTAACTCTACTGAAGCTAACTCTACTGAAGCTAACTTTACTGAAGCTAACTTTACTGAAGCTAACTTTACTGATGCTAACTTTACTGATGCTAACTTTACTGAAGCTAACTCTACTGAAGCTAACTCTACTAAAGCTAACTTTACTGAAGCTAACTCTACTGAAGCTAACTCTACTGAAGCTAACTTTACTGAAGCTAACTTTACTGAAGCTAACTTTACTGAAGCTAACTTTACTGATGCTAACTTTACTGATGCTGACTTTACTGAAGCTGACTTTACTGAAGCTAACTTTACTGAAGCTAACTTTACTGAAGCTGACTTTACTGAAGCTGACTTTACTGAAGCTGACTTTACTGAAGCTAACTTTACTGAAGCTGACTTTACTGAAGCTAACTTTACTGAAGCTGACTTTACTGAAGCTAACTTTACTGAAGCTAACTTTACTGAAGCTGACTTTACTGAAGCTAACTTTACTGAAGTTAACTTTACTGAAGCGCTAACTTTACTGAAGCTAACTTTACTGAAGCTAACTTTACTGAAGTTAACTTTACTGAAGCTAACTTTACTATAGCTAACTTTACTGAAGCTAACTTTACTGAAGCTAACTTTACTGAAGCTAACTTTACTGAAGCGCTAACTTTACTGAAGCGCTAACTTTACTGAAGCTGACTTTACTGAAGCTAACTTTACTGAAGCTAACTTTACTGAAGGTAACTTTACTGAAGCTAACTTTACTGAAGCTAACTTTACTGAAGTTGACTTTACTGATGCTAACTTTACTGAAGCTAACTTTACTGAAGCTAACTTTACTGAAGCTAACTTTACTGAAGCTAACTTACTGAAGCTGACTTTACTGAAGCTGACTTTACTGAAGCTAACTTTACTGAAACTGACTTTACTGAAGCTGACTTTACTGAAGTTAACTTTACTGAAGCTGACTTTACTGAAGTTAACTTTACTGAAGCTGACTTTACTGAAGTTAACTTTACTGAAGCTGACTTTACTGAAGCTGACTTTACTGAAGTTAACTTTACTGAAGCTGACTTTACTGAAGCTAACTTTACTGAAGGTAACTTTACTGAAGTTGACTTTACTGAAGCTGACTTTACTGAAGTTAACTTTACTGAAGCTAACTTTATTGAAGCTAACTTTACTGAAGCTAACTTTAATGAAGCTAACTTTACTGAAGCTAACTTTACTGAAGCTAACTTTACTGAAGCTAACTTTACTGAAGCTGACTTTACTGAAGCTAACTTTAATGAAGCTAACTTTACTGATGCTAACTTTACTGAAGCTAACTTTACTGAAGCTAACTTTACTGAAGCTAACTTTACTGAACTTCACTGAAGCTAACTTTACTGAAGCTAACTTTACTGATGCTAACTTTACTGAAGCTGACTTTACTGAAGTTAACTTTACTGAAGCTAACTTTATTGAAGCTAACTTTACTGAAGCTAACTTTAATGAAGCTAACTTTACTGAACTTTACTGAACTTTACTGAAGCTAACTTTACTGAAGCTAACTTTACTGAAGCTAACTTTACTGAAGCTAACTTTACTGAATCTAACTCTACTGAAGCTAACTTTTCAGATTATGAAAACCTCAAATTCAAAATTAGAATATTGTGAAAAGGTTTTCATAAGCTGTAAGTCATAATCATCAAAATTATAACAAATAAAGGCTTGAAATATCTCACTTTGCATGTAATGAGTCTATATAATATATTAGTTTCACCTTTTAAGTTGAATCACTGAAATAAATTAACTTTTGCACGATATTAGAATTTTTCGAGTTTCACCTGTACGTATTAAAATACTATTATAATAATCTATTCTTTGAACACACCTTTAGAAAGTATAATGCATTAAAACGCATAACGAACAACCATTTCAGGTGTAAACTGCAAATATTATAATGGATTTTAACTTTGGTTACAATTATTTGTGAAAAGATATAATGCATTACAACATACGTTATGTATACCTTTATAATGCATTATACATGAATTAAAAGTGTTACAGGAAAACGGAAAGGCTTTCAAACCACCTAAACTCGTCAAACAGACAGAAATGTGTTGGTCAGACAGCCGGAGCAATGAAGCGCTTCGAGAGTCTCGGCCGAACCGCCGGCACACTCCCAGAGATGCTGGCAATCACATGGAAAGTTCAGAAAATGTCAGTCTATCACAGATAATCATGATATATTAAGTACATCTGCACAAGCTGAACAAGAAATTCATTTCATTATTGTCAATAAAAGTCAAACCCAGGCAATGCCTCAGGATATATATTAAAAAATGTATGCTTGTATGAATAATTGACAGATACAGACATTGATGCACGAAACAACAACTTCAGGGATCAGGGATATTGAAGCAGCTGCAGGGAAAATTGCACAACAATGAACCCATGTTGTGATAATTAGAAGCAAACTAATCGGATTTCATATTTTATCCAGTCATTTTAGTAGGGAGGTTAAGTGACTTTTGACTTCAAGTCATGATGCAAAGGTCCCCTTTGGTATGGAAGTACCTTAGGGCCATAGAAATAAATTTATCCTAAGACACAAGTGAGATCACATTTTGTATCTTATATACACACATTTTTTAAAAATGGCCGCCGACCATACTTGAGAGGCCCATATCTTTGCTTCTGTCATAGCTATAATGACAAATTTGGTATCAACGGGTACATTTTTGTGGTCAAGGAGTCCAATAAAATAGGTTCCAAGACTAAAAAACAATAATGTTGTCCTTAACATGACAATTGGAGGTGAAGTATGCAATTTTTTATTAAAAAACGCATGCCAAACACACAGTCCATTCACAACTTAATAATTTCTTCGTTTAGGTCTGCTTCGCATGCGCCCTTTACAGCACTGGCTGAAGACGTGGGTCCTGCGTCGAGCATGGGCATCCGGTCGTTTACGTCTCAAGGTAACTCAGAACTGTGTCACAGCTCTGGAGCCCTGCAGGCGGTCGACTGGTATCAGACAGGTGTAAACCTGGGAGTAATCTCTAAACTGATAGTGGTTTCGACAGACGCCTCCAATTCGGGCTGGGGCGCCCTCTATGAGGGCAGACCGACTTTTGGCCTGTGGTCAAGCCAAGAAAAGAGCTTGCACATAAACTGTCTAGAGATGAAGGCGGTCGAGAACGCCTTGCGGTTCTTCCTTCCCCTTCTAAAGGGCCACCATGTCCTTGTCCGCACGGACAACATGTCGGTGGTTTCCTACATAAATCGCCAGGGCAGTCTGAGATCACGGAACCTTCATGCACTGGCAGAACGCATCCTTGTATGGGTTCAGCACCCATCACTGGCCCAGCCCATCACTGGCCCAGCCCATCACTGGCGGCTGGGCTGCCCATCACTGGCCCAGCCGCCCTCTCTATGCTTTCCCTCTGATCATGCTGTTACCACAGGTAATCAAGCCTATAAGGGAGAACGGTTCCTGTGTACTTCTAGTAGCTCCGTTCTGGCCGAACCAAGTTTGGTTTCTGGAGCTGATGCAGCTTCAGAGCTTGCCTCCGTGGCCTGTCCCATTGAGGAGAGATCTCCTCTCACAGGCCGGGGGTACGATTTGGCACCCACGACCCGAGCTTTGGGCTCTGCATGTGTGGGCCATCAACGGGTACCCATCAGTCTCCCCGACGGAGTGTTAAACACGATTACGCAAGCTAGAGCGCCCTCTACTAGATGGCTTTATGGTTCCAAGTGGTCAGTGTTCTCAGGTTGGTGCTCAGCTCGCAACCTGGATCCACAAGATTGTGGGGTGTCGGAGGTTCTCTCCTTCCTACAGGAGCTCTTGGATAAGGGTAGATCCCCATCCATGCTCAAGGTATATGTGGCGGCTATTGCTGCGTTTGTCAAACATTCGCATGGCCAGTCACTGGGTAGGAACGACCTTGTAGTCCGCTTCCTCAGGGGAGCTAGAAGGATGAACCCTCCTCGCCCCCCCTCGGACCTTTCCTTGGTCCTGGAGGCCATGAAGGGTGCCCCTTTCGAACCTCTACAGTCTGTGGACCTTAAGTATCTCTCATTGAAAACCGCCTTTCTGGTGGCTATCGCCTCAGTCAAGCTGGTGGGTGACTTACACGCACTTTCTGTTAGTGCGTCGTGCCTTGAGTTTGGGCCTAATGACTCCAAGGTCATCCTCAAACCAAGACATGATTATGTCCCCAAAGTACTTGCCACTCCTTTCAGAGCACAAGTCTCTGTGGATCTGACAGCGAGTCTGACATTCTCTCGTCACAGGCGATTTTTGAGATTCACCTTCGAGGGCCAGGCATATCAATACACAGTCCTACCGTTCGGCCTGTCCCTGGCATCCTGTATATTATGATGTACATGGACGCGGCTCTCGCGCCCCTGAAACTTCAGGGAATGCCAGCTTTGAACTATTTGGACGATTGGCTGATTCTAGCTCGATCTCATTCAGAGCTCATAGAACACAGGACCATATTACTCGAACACCTCGAGAATCTTGGTCTCACAGTCAATTGGGCGAAGAGCCAGGAAATATCCTTTCTGGGCACAGAGCTGAACTCGCTGTCAATGACAGCGCGACTATCGCCAGAGCGCATACTGAACATTGCGGCACTATAGTCCCGCTCAAGAGATTTCAGAAGATGCTGGGCCTCATG